TTATTTAAACTTAAACTTTTATATCTTATTATTTAATATATTATCGAGTATTTATTTTTAATTTTTTTTTAACTTTCAAGTAATTAAAAACAAAACATTTATCAAATTTATATTTTGTTTGAGTTAAAGGATTCATGCAAGTGATGTTTACTGAAAAGATAAAATATTTCATGGCAAGATCTAAATTTCTAATTGTATTTAATTATTTTGATCATTATGTTTAGAAGATATATATGTCTGTACCACCAAATTTTATTGATTAAAGTGAGGGATCAAATACTAAAAATGAAAGTTGAGGGAGAGCCAAATATGTTATAAAAATGAAACGTGGTTTGAGGGGCGAAATCTGTTATAAGAATGAAAAATAGTTTGAGGGACCAATTATTAAATGACAACAAGTTAAGGGACTAAATCCGTTATTAAAAATGAAAGTTGAAGCAAAGAAGGGTGAATAAACAAAATTGCCCCTCATTAATAGAAACTTAACTGAGATAGTTAGTAGGAGGGACCATATCGTGAAAATGAACTCTAGAGACGTTCATTATTAATAACTTTTTTAAAGACCTTATTCATTAATTTATGTAAATCACAGGGAACAAATTTGCATTTAACTCTAAAACTAATTATAATAATTTTCTATTATTAATTATTAATATTGGTAATAATTAATTTTTATTAATACATTATTTATTTATAGTTAATTGTAATAAATAATAAATAATATTACTGAGTGTTATAATTGAAAATGTACAATAAACTCTCAAAATGCTAATTTAAATAAAATCTCCCTCTCTCTCTCTCTCTCTCTCACACACACACACATATATATATATATATATGTATAACCAAATAAAATAACACAAAAACAGCAAATCAAGTGCAAAATCACATTTGATTTTACACTAACAATCAACCCAAGAGTGTGCAGGTGACATGGCCTGCGACCTCAGCTAGCAGGCTAAAGTCGTGTAAATCTCATGTAATTTTACACTTGATGTTTAGTGTAATCAATTAAAAAAATTTAAGTAGGTAAGTGGGTATCGATTAATTTTTTTAATCTATATTCTTATCCTTCGAATCGATACATAACTATAACGACTTTACCCTTATCCATTCTTAGTCTTACATAAACCAAGGTTCAAAATTGCGTGAGGCGTGGTGTGGAGGCGAGACGCCACGACGAGGATGCGACCTTTTTCAAGGCGTAATATAAGACGACAAATTTTTATGTCACATATAGAATTATATATTTACATATATGTTTTCCATCTATTATCTAATTAGATAATAATATTAAAATTTGTACATTCATATTAGATAGAAAAAAAAATATATACACATTATTATTATTATTATTATTATAAAAATAGCTTTTGGTTTTAAAATAGAACTTATAAAAGTAAATTTAAAACTTCATTTTAATTGTGAGTCTATAACATTTATGAATACTTGAAACTGTGAGTGATGTGATTAAATAAATTTATAAAAGTGTAAAAAACAAAATATAAAAAATTGAACTTTTTTTTTGAAAATAATAATTTTTTTAAAAGAAATCACGTCTTATAAAAAACGCGTACATAACGTGATCCACGCCTTATAGAAACTCTAAGGACCATTTCGTAAGAGCGTCTTACGTCATAACATGCTATGAGACGTCTTTTTGGACACTGTAAATAATTAAGTAGATGGTAGGATTTAATTCTAGTGGTACGTATATTTAAAGAATTAAATTTAGAGTCTGAAAATAAGATTAATAGTCAAGATGATGGTACTGAAGGTAGTTTGCAATCATTGTTTGGGACCCTTAACTTTTGGCATCTCTTACAATTCAAGCGTGACAAAAAATGTTAATAGTATGATTCCAAAGAAATATCTTCTATATTCTATTTGAACTATATATAAAATGTTAAATCGTATTTTTTACATTCTTAATATTTTGAATTGACCTAAAGATAGGGTCCCTATGGCTAGGGGTGTAAATGATGCGAGTCGAGCTTGAATATCTTTATACTCGACTCGAACTCGAACTCCAAACCCAATTCTCAAGCTCGAATTCGACTCGAAAACTCGCGGGTAGTAAAAATCAAAGGTCGACTCAAACTTGAACTCGAATCAAGCTTGAACTACAACTCAAATCAAGCTTGACTCTAACTCGAATCAAGCTCACCCATTGAAATTTATGATTTTTCTCTTATAAATTTTAGAACTTAAAAGGTGTTCTCTTAGTTTATATAAAACTAAAGAGATCAACTTCAAATTTCATCATAAAAAAGACAAAGTTAGAAATTTCATTCATCTCCTTCTCTTTTTATAACATTTTTTCTCCCTTCCTTTACCATCTATCTTTTAATGTGAGACAATTTCACTAACATTTTTTTATAGTTTTTCTTTGTCTTTTTTTAATTGTGATTTTAATAAAAAAAAAATTGATTAAGTTTTATAATTAAAAAATGCATAATTGTGTTTAAATATCTAAAAATATAAGACATTTTTATTATTTATATTTTACAAATTATATCATGAAAACTGATTATATTTTAAAACTAATTATATATAAAATAATCGAGTATCTCACGAGCTTTTCGAGTCGAGTATTGGGTAGCTTGACTCGACTCGTTAATATATCGAGTTGAGCTCGAGTTCCAGCCGAGCCTATTCGAGTCGAGTGTTGACCGAGCTCTGACCGCGTCAATCTCGAGTAGCTCGCGAGCTGTCTCGTATCATTTACACCCCTACCTATGGCAATACATTTGTTAACCCGATACATGGTGTTGAGCGTATGCTTTTCTTCGATTTATGACTGGAATGGAATAACCATTTTAACCACCATTCACTCCATCGCCAACCGAATAATGTTTATGGGTTCAATCGATTTGACATTTCAAGAGGTTTTTGGTCTAATGACATTTAATTTCAATACCATAATAATTGTTCCATTTCCGTTTCATGTAATCATGCATTTTCAGGACGTATATGTATTCGTAATATGACATAAACGCACATGTTGGCAGTTGGGCTCATTACCAGGATAAATTTAAAGCTCTCACTAGAGATATGAAAAATAAACGAGTCTGCATCATAAATATTTATGTATATGATACAGCATTAGAAATTGGGAAGGTCAGTGTTGTTTGTTCATTGACGATTTGAACTGAAGTTTATGTAGTTCATTGACGATTTGAACTAATTACTCACATCAAATCTGCAATAAAATAAAATGTTGTTACCTGTCTTACACTTTCGTAGAAGTGCTCGTTGTGAAATTTGAGTAAAAAAGGAATATGTAATATACATGCTATATTTTTACATGATTTAAATCTTTAATGCATGCCAAATGTACTTTGATTGCGTCCTTCAAGAAATTTATGCTTAAAGCATGTTTGGAGTCACATATATACGACGTTAGTGATAAGCAGGGCATTACAGATGCAAAAGCCAACATACATCTCAAGGTACATGTATGATATGTTGAGTGACATGATATAGACTCGTACATGTTTCGCAAGGATACCTTTGTACGTGGTGGTAAACTATACGCACCAGCATGTACTGAATACCACATTTGTGCTGTATTGTATGTGATTGAAAGTTTTACCAAGTACATACCTATAGATAAAAAATCACATGTACCAAAATCTCACATTTCATTCCTGTCACACAAATGAGATTAAGCCAAATCATATTTTTATTTATTTTAAATTTATTTAATTCATATTCACGTTCTCTCTCATGTGATTGGTGGACTTAAATAAGACGTGAGATTTTAGGATTGGTGATTTATATCTGTAACTATATATATACTTGGTTATCGACTGATAGTCAAAGA